GCATGACTGCGTGGTTAAAAAATTTCCTATTTTCCTTCTGACTCGCTATGACACAACTCCTAACAATGGCCAAGTGTAACCAATGGAAAGGATCGCAGTATAGTGGCTCAAGTAATAAATATCGAATCCACGGGTCTCTAGAGTTACTATTACTCAGCTTCAGTTCATTATCTAGCAAACCAGATTAAGATGAAAGAACAAATACTACTCTAGCAAACTACAGTTAAAGTTAATCTAATTACAGGTTGGGAACTCACTTAGGTATGATTCCCCCTAGCCACTAGCCAGACTAACGATTGATGATTCTTACTTATTTTTGAAAGGTAATCTCCAGGAATGTGAGAATCTGATCGAGGTCTTGAATGATTATGAGGAGCTTAGTGGCCAGTGAGTGAATTTGGCGAAATCAATAGTGTGCTTTAGTAAAAATATTGCTCTACCAGACCAAGAGCTCCTCACTGCTATGTTAGGAGTCGGGGTGGTAAGTGTCTATGACAAATATCTAGGTTTACCCACGCTGATCGCCCGGTCTAAAATGGCCACTTTCCGCTATTTGGAGGAGAAATTATTAGAAAGACTCCAAGGGTGGAAGCAAAGGACTCTATCTTGGGTGGCCAAGGAAACTTTGATTAAGTCCATTGCTTTGGCATTACCCCTGCATGTGATGTCCTGTTTCAAGCTTCTTATATCTTTGTGTCGTCTTTTGGATAAACATGTGGCCCGGTTCTGGTGGGGAGCGGATGAGGGCCAAACGAAGATTCGGTGGGTGTCCTGGCTTAACATGTGCAGGAGTTTCCCGACTGGGACCTTCCTCAAAGCTACGGCTCACTCTCACCCATCGTGGGGTTGGCAAAGCATCCTATTTGCGAGATAGTTATTGGTTAATGGGCTTGCGATGGCAAATTGGAAATGGTCTTAATGCGTCCTTACTCCATTCCAATTGGATTCCTCGACTCCAGCTGGATCCCACTCGGTATAATCCCCAGGTCTTACCCAATGGGGGTGACCCCCAGTAGCTGAGGTGATTAGTTCGAGGGAGGGGCGCTGGTGTGACCTCAAACTTAGGCAATGGTTTGACCTGTCTACCTGTCGTACCATTAAAGCTATTCCTCTTTCGCGTCAGAATGTGGAGGATCGGCTGATATGGCACGACACATTGGATGGGGTTTTCTCGGTCAAATCAGCCTACCATTTAGCTGTCTTGCTTGATAAGATGAGGGGTTGCTGGAAGTCTACGGTGAGTTGGATGTATAAGGCTAGTTGTATTCGTTTGTGGGAGGTGGATTTTCCCCCTGAGCTGAAAGTGTTTGTCTGGTAGATTCTGAATCGTGCCCTTCCAACTACGAAGGCTCTTATAGAAAAGAAGGTCCCCTTGCATCCCCGATGTCCGTTTTGCTGGGATAGTTCTGAGTCTTTGGAACGCATGTTTCTCTATTGCCCAGTTGCGCGTGCCCTCTTGTACTACTCGGGCCTGAAATATCTGGGGGAAGGGTTGCCCCGTCATACCTTTCCGCTTTTCCTAAAGAGGCTACTGGCCTTGATTAATCAACCAACGTTGTTTATTGCGGTTATTGCCATCCTTTGGAGGATCTGGCGATCTCGTAACTAGGTTGTCTTTGGATGCAAACAGTTTGGGATCCCTGTGTTGATGCGCCAGTTTTTTCAACAATATTAGGAATGGGTTAGTTTGTCGATAAGTTGTGCGTCGCGATTTCCTCTCACTAAGCCTCAACAACGAGGTACAGTCGGAGCCCCGAGTGTTGTTTGTATATGAGATAGGGCTACTAGGACTGGGTCTCATTTGGCAGGTGGAATGGTTCTTTTTAACCCTGCGAGGGAGGTCATCATGGCTAAGGGGGTCCAATTTCAGTTAATTGATGATCCTATGGTGGTAGAACTACTTGGACCCCGTGAGGCTATTGTATGGTGTTTGGGGCATGGCTTCACGGACGTCGGCTTTGAAGGTGATGCGAAAGTGGTCATTGACAAAATAGATTTTAGAGAGACACCAACGATAGTCAGATGGGTACTGTTCTTGAGGAGATAGTGCAGTACTTTACCACCCATCGTGGGTTTAATATTCGATTTGTAGGTCTGTGTAGTAATAGGGTAGCCCATTCTGTGGCTAAAAAGGCTCTTTCATTGTACCCGACTATAAGTTGTTCCTTTGATTTCCAGACCTGTCTGAATTACATAATGTAACGATCTATCTGTATCAATGAATGATTATCTCTTGTAAAAAAATACATGGTAAACGTCAACAACCTGAAGATTTGGAGATACTTCTTGTCTTCTCGCTTTCTCTCATGAAATAACTATGTAATATTGCTACGGAAAAAAAATAGCAGCTCTCAATTATATAAAGATCTAAGCCGCAACATTCGATTCAGGGGAGCTAAAAAAAACATGTCCATGATTCATCGAACTTAAGCTTCACACAAAATCATTAATCCTAGCTGATACCAACAACCCCCAATAATTTGATGCTTAAAGAGCAACCTAATTCAGCTATAATGTAAGTGCGTGAGTCAAATAGTAAGCAACAAAAATATTGAGGTAAAAACAAAGCATTACTTGAGGCAAGTACAAAATTATGCTCGTTTATTCCATCATCAACCCATCAATAAACTATCTTCGTCTAGCTCCGCCATTAAAGCTGTAACAAGAAGAAAGCTAGCCGATGCAATCGAGAATTAGAGGGAGTATGAAATAGAACCAGCGATGCGACGACATGTTTTGTTGAATTACAGGAAACCATGGAGCAAAGTTCTTCTGATCTTACTTACAGTGCTCTAAGTGTTGTTTATGTCACCCTTTTATTTGCTTTGTTATTTGATTGTGAATGAGTTCATATCTAGTGTAGGAAGCAAGGGGAAAGGAAGACTCTGAAAGATCAACATCTTTTTGTGCTTGTAAAAGAAATTTTCAGATGTGGGCAGATGAAGATTTAGTGGCCCCAGCAATCACGTTGAGCTGGAATGCTCACATGTCAAGGAAAATTACCATAAGATACCACTGTTAAGTTTAGTGACTACAAATATAACGGTGCAATCTAAAGTCGACTTGTGTGGTTTAGTTACAATTAAAAAAAGTTAGATGGTTAACATGCAACAAATTCAATACTTAAGTGATATCCAGTATAATTAACCCTATGTTTGTTTGCGTGGATATTTATTTTTTTCAATCGATATTAGTCTGTATTGTGTTGATATTAGTTTGTATCATTGTTGAAATTAACTAGTATTCTATGTTACCAAAACTCGTATCCATCCTTCACAAACCAGTATCCATCATTCAATTAATGTTTACCAAACCCCAAAATAACCCAACCACTCGAAACTTATTACACCAATTTATAGTTTAGGGTTAGGATTCGGGTTTATGATTTAGAGTTTAGGGTTTAGGGTTAGGATTTCAGTTTAGGGTTTGAGTTTTTGTTTAGGGTTTACGTCTTTACCGTTTAGAGTTTAGGGTTAGGGTTTCAATTTTAGGGTTCAGGTTTTAGTTTCGGGTTTAGGTTTTAGTTTAGGGTTTATGGTTTAGAGTTTGGAGTTAGGGTTTCAAATTTAGGGTTAGGATTTTGGTGTAGGTTTAACGGTTTAGAATTTAGTGTAACGTTTATGGCTTAGTGTTTAGAAGACGATATTGCGGAAATGGTTATGAACTCAATGTGGGGTGGTTTGTTATTTGTCTGTGGTGATAGGATATTATTATGTGATGGGAGAATATTAGTTTGTGATGTGTGTATACTGTGATAGTGAGAATATCAATTTTGGATGATTGGATATTAGTTTGAGACTGTAAGAAATTAGTCTGGGTGGTGAATGGATATCAGTCTACAATGGTTTGATATTAGTCTGGTTGGTTTGGAATTTGTTTTATGTCGAGGTTTATCTACTGAATTTGTATCATTGTTGAAATATTAGTTTGATAACTAATATCCATTCTTAAGAAGGGTGTCTATGTGGACGTATATGACAAGGGTTGTGGATTTTACATGGATTAGTTCGTGTCGATGTTTTTTGATGTCCTTGTCGAGTTGTTTTTTATTTCTATTCAAAGTCGGATGATGACGATAACACTCATTAAACTGTATCCATGTTGTGGGGGAGTCTTATCCATATATATCTACTCACTAGTATCATCGTTGAAATGAACTATTATTATGTATTCAGTATCCATCCTTCACCAACCCAGTATCCATGTCTTTATTAAAACTATAGGGATATTAGTTTAAGACGATAAGATATTTGTTTGTGTTATTTGGATATAAATTTGCAGGTGTGTGCAAAATCCCGGAAACACTTAAGTAGGATACATTTAGGCATTCATCTAGGTCGCATAGACTAGTATCCAGACAATTGAAATTTGGCTAAATTGCAAGTTTGGTCACTAGAATTACTTAAAAGTTCACGTTTGCCACTAAAATTAATTTATTCCATCCGTAATCACTTAAATTAGGTTAACAGTTCAAGTTTGGTCACTGATCGTTAGTCTCCGTTAAGTTTTGCTAATGTGGCGATCAACTCGTATAGTTGACCGTTAAATGAGTGACGCGGCAATTAAAAATTAATAAAAATTATTTATTATTTATTTTCTACCTAATTATTATAAAAATTATAAAAATCATAACTCCTTTATTATTATTTTCCACCGTCGTCGTCGTTCCACCGCTAAGATGTCTGGCACCTTACCTGCAAACAGACCTTCCAGCAGCTCGAAATAGCTCGAGATTGCCTTGAACCCTTCCTCCCCCTGCAGTGACCTCGCGTAGTCACCCTTGTAGAGCCTGATCGCCTTGTTCATCTAGGTCGCAGCTCAGGCAGCTCCGCGCTCGATTCGTCCGCCACCGTCGTCGGCCAACAGAACACGTTCTCAATCAAACTGTCCGGCAGGGGAGGGTCTGTCGCGTCCTAGAAATCCACCACTTCCACCATGATCGAAATCCTCCGGGAACCGGAGAGCGTTCTCAACGCACCCATGCTGCATTTCCATATCAGTCACGACAGCGCCTCTAATCTCGACTGCTTGATTGCCACAAGGGCTCTCAGCTTTTCGATTGAGTCAAAATCCAATGTGAATCGCCTCGTGGCGTAGTTCTTCCCTTTGTTGAACCAGAGGGTTTTCATCAGATTGAGGTGATTTTCAGGGGAGGATTCCCTCGGCCGAGGGACAGCCGAGCCGCCGCGGCAAAATCGAGACAAACGACGCCATCCGGATCGCCGCAGGACACAGGGGAGAAGGTTTTCAGAAAGGATTGCATTGTGGTGTGTAATGGCCCAATAGTTGTACCATTTCGTAATTGTGTTGTTGTAGAAGAAGGGGAAACCGAACGACATGATGATGAATGATGAATAAGAAATCTAGAATTAGTCTATTATAGATTTCTCTTTTCTCTATTCTTCTTCCCTTTCTTCTTCCTCTGTTCCTTTCCTTCTATCGCTGGAGCAACTCCCACCCAGGGGCTATTACAAGGCGACGTCGGCCAGCTAGCGACGTTTCAGGAAATGGGCGATGCGAGGCGTGGGTGAAAAGGAAGCCCTCGTCCAACCTATAGATGAAGACATTTTCGGGTGTGGTCCGGCCTGAGAAAGGGTAGTAGATGTTGAGAGTTTCCGCGGCAGAGGAACAACGACGGTGGAAAATAATAATAGAGGAATTATGATTTTTTAAATTTTTATAATAATTAGGCGGAAAATAAAAAATAATAATTTTTTATTATTTTATTAATCTTTTAATTGCCACGTCACTCATTTAATGGTCAACTATAAGAGTTGACCGCCACCGCAGCAAAAGTTAACTGGGACTAATGGCCAGTGACCAAATTTGAACTGTTGACCTAATTTAAGTGACTACGGATGGAATAAATTAATTTTAGTGACAAACGTGAACTTTTTAAGTAATTCTAGTGACCAAACTTGCAATTTAGCCATTGTAATTTAGTATTCAGACATTAAATAACTAATATTCAGTTACACAAAACTAATATCTAGTAGGCAAAAACTCATATCCAAACCTCACTTAAGTAATATTATGACCTCACATAACTAATATCAGCTAACTAATATCCAGACCGAGAAAATTGATATCTTAACATAACATTACTAATATTTAAGCAAACAAAACAATATTACTAATATCCATAAAGCACAAATTAATATCGAAACCTCACATAACTAATATTTGGACCTCACATGACTAATATTAGAGGATAATAATGAGACCGTGTAGACTAATATACATACATTCCATGACTAATATCCAGACCTAACATAATAATATCCATTCGATCAAGTCTGAAACAATATCGACATTCAAACAACTAGTATCCCAGGTCTTCTAAAATGATATCAAGCATGTAACGAACAAGTATTCCACGAAGCAGAAAGAAAAAATATCAATAACTATTATGTATAGGGGATTTATATCCACAACTATCAGTATACAAAGTATTATCCAAAATTACTATTTCGCGTAATTAAATGGCTAGAACCCCGTTATCGTGAGTTTAATTGTAACGGTGCCGGACACGTCAGCCGCCTCATAGGATTTTAATTAACTACTAATTTTATTAACTTTCTTACCCCTTTTCATTTCAAATGTTCCCCCAAAATCCTAGGGTTGGGTTGGCTCACGAGATACGATAGAGACGAAGTGAGGATCTTCTGGTTCAGCCAACACAAATGACGTTGTCGGGCCGCTGTGCCATTGTAACAAACCCTGCATCGGAATAATGTCTGCATAGGAATCCAGGAAGGCAGTTTTATTGTTGTCAAAATTGGAAGGTAAGTGTCTTTGTTTGACACGTTGGGTTTGTTTACCTATGACCTTCATCTTAGTAATAGCTTTATTTTCATTTGTAGACGAATGATTGTCGGTTCTTCCTATGGGTGGATAAGTATATGAGAAGGAATGGATCAGTGTGGTCTACACATGATGATGAGACAGTTGGTCTTAAGGCAAAACTTATGGAAGTGGAAGCAAGCAAAAACAAGATGTTAGAAGAGTTGAGTAGAATGAGAGAAAGTCATGCAAGGTTGGTTTCCGAGCTGAGCAGAATGAGCAACATTATCTCTAGCTTTGACACGAAGATAACAAGGCTGATGTACTGTCTAATTGGTGTCATAGTTTACGCTGCATTCTGTAGATTCCAGGGAGTTTGAGGTGTAACATCCCGTTTCGACTAAAATCGTATTTCGATTGCTAGAAAGTTCGCGATTTAAAATCGAGTGTTTTAATAGTATTTCGACGAAAATCGGAATATCGATCGACCGGATAAATACCAATTACTATATTTATATATAGTACATATAAATAATTATATATGTTAACCTACTTGTGTGTCGCCGGGAGAGGAGTTGCCAGAGAAAAAGAAATAAAAATAAAAAGTAAGCCGGGAGAGGAGTTGCCAGAGAAAAAGAAATAAAAATAAAAAGTAAACAAAAAGCAGGCGGCAGATTGCTTTCATATATATATTGTAAACCAAATCCCCCGGTCCATTTCCATCTTCTCTCTTTACTCATTGAATTACCCAGAGGTAGATCAGCGCGCGGAGCAGTTCAGAGGAGGGACGAGGGAAATTCTCATAGCTCGAATCTTGAGATCTAGTAATCCAAAAATCCCGTAAGTAATGCCTAATTCATCTATACATCGTGATTTATCGATTTAGAGCTTTAAAACGAGTTTTTGGTTCAAGAATTTCTTGAATTCCCGATAAGCCAAATTAGGGTTTCGGAGTATCCGGAAGCCGGATTGAGCCCAAATTTCATATACGAGCTTCCTGCAGCGAGGTAATCAATCCTCTAGTTTTAATCCATGAATTTCCGCTATTATTTAGGTCGGAGCTGGGATCGCTGAATTTAGCTCCGGCCAGGGTTTGATGTGTTTTTATCAAGAATTTGACCCGGAGTCTAGAACTAATATTGACGGGGATACTGCAGGGGATATTAGGACGGTCTCGGATTCTAATTCGGGTTTCGTTCATGAAATTGACGTTTTAGTACGGGAAGGTTAAACCGGTGTTTGAACCACCAGAACTGGTGAGGGATTAGCACGACATACCGGGTTTGTCGTATCACGATAATTATATTGATGCTTAGAATTGACCTAGGTGAACTAGAATGGCATGATTAGGGGTGTATGAACTTTTGTGCTATATGTTGAACCCTGGACTGCTGTATGATATTATTGACTTGCCCTAATCGATATGGACCTTGTTTATGCTGATGATTGCATACATGTTGCCATTTGTGGCTTAACTGTTGATATGACTTCATAGTTATTCGATAAGGGGTTTTGACATGGTGTGATATTATGGTTGTATTTGGATCCATAAGTGGGGGGAATAAACTTCCCAAGGTGATATTATGATGTTTTAAGGAGGATGACTTGCACGAGGGTTTATCCCAAGGAAGTGCAATTATACGACTCCTGATTTACCTATGTTGAGCCAATTGTGGCCTGGTCAAGTACATGTGCAAGTAACGAATTATGATTAAGCAAGATGAGATATGAATCATGTATAAGGATACCAAATATGAGTGTTGTGGTCTCACGGTCAACTACATAGTAATTAGGGCTCCCTATGCTATTACTCTATTATGATATGTATGATAGTCACACCTCTCATGTGGTGGTGACTGAAGAATTCTTATGAGATATGACCACACCCAGAGCGGTGTCGGGGTATGACTACACCCATAGTGGTGTGGGGTATGTATGACCACATCCGACGGGATGTTGGGGTATGTATGACTACATCCGGCGGGATGTGGGGTATGTTTCCCGGGAGAGTTATTAGCATGGGAGTAGCCAGGCGCCTATGAGTAAAACATGATAAGATGCATATGCATAAGTCAAGGTGGTTGAGTCTTTTGCCTATTGGGATATAAGGATGGCTGAGGTTCGATCCTAGTGTTTTGGCTTGATTGTTAGATGTATGATAGGGGTATGCTATGTTATGAACTCACGATGCTATGATTATCTCACTCAGCTATGAGCTGACCCTCTTTATCCTTTTTCTCTGCTTATGTCATGTGTAAGCAGATCATCATCATCAGCAGCAGTAGATAGGTGTATAGGTGGGAGCTGAGCAAGAGTTGAAGGTAAGATGAGGTATGGTCTTCAACTATTCTGTGCTTGGACGACTACTCGGGATTTTGGCCAGTGATCCACACCTTTTTGTAAAAATGTTTTGAAAACATTTTCATGTGCATACTAGCTTTTGATATAGTGAGATATCCACAGGTGTGGAAAGTCGATTATATGTGTATATGTGTGTGGTGGTGTAAGTTGTGACGATTATGACATGTATAAGTATGGTATGTAGTTTCAGAGTACGAAACTGTGACTATGGATATGAGAAGCAATGTATATGGTTGTGGGTGTATGTCTATGTCTATAGATTTATAGTATGAGATAAATTATTTTGCAGGATTTAGTTACAATAACTGTTAGCCCATTACGCGAGTAATTCATGCCGAAATTTTATTTGGGTAAATTTTGATAATTAATGTAACACCCGAGATTATTTCCGCTGAAATTGTATGAACAATATGATTAGGCAAAACGTATAGGGTAGGGTGCTACATGAGGTGTAGGAAAATGTAAGCAAACACTTATGTAATGTTCAATTCCATTCTAGTTTGAGCATTGTCGTGATGTGTGGAAAACAAGTAAACTTCAGTTTCAGTATTGTTTCGTACGATCTGAGCACTTCTATAACACATAATATATAGACACCTTGTACCAAAGCTAAATCGTTTCAAAAGAAGTTGACAGCATTACATCTGCACTATTTTGGACAAAATAAAGTGAGCCTGTACAGTATGCAAAACGTGGTGAACCAACTGGAATCACCTTACAAAGCTCAATTGAAATTTTTCCATAACGCTAGATACTTGCGTAGTGTTTGGGACAAGATGAATTGAGCTTGTACAAAATGCAAAATGTGGTGAACCAAACCGGAATCACCTTACAAGCTAAAATTGCAAACCTCCTGCCTATTAACACACTGTTCTACCATAGACAAAAGCTAAAACATAACAAAGAAACAGTCCACACACACACGTCTTCAAGCCATATGTTGTGGTTGAGACTCAGGTTGAGTTGAAGTAGCTCCCGTTGTATCAATCTCAGTTGGCTGATTTCCAACTCCCTCTGCAGAAGTACCAGCTCCATCTCCCGATCCAGTTGCAACATTCTCATAGATGCAATCAACCCCTAGAGCCTGTCTAACTTCTCCACCCACCACCAAGTTCCTGTGAAGGTTCCCATTTCTTGATTTCTACATAAGGAAAACAAACTTAAGGGTTCAAAGTTCAGAATATCATGTAAAGGA